AATATTAATTAAAATAAATATTTATATAAATATATATTACGCTATTTTTGAGATATTAAAGAATTAAAAAAATCACCGTCACAGCTACAGAAAACGTTGTCAAATTAAGTGAAATCTTTTAAATTAATTACTAATTGAACCTCTAACCTCTAACCTCTAAAATAATTTTGTTTGCTGTTTTGTTGAAGAAGAATGTACAATTGAGTTTAGCAAGGTAACCCTCAACTGGTTGCCCAAACAAAGAGGAAGTGAAGGAGCGTGCGAGTTTTCCTACATGTTCCCTAGCCCCAGGGGTGCGGCCCGTGGATTTATTGGGTGGCATCATGTTGTAATTAAGCTTTAATTCAAGGTCAAAATTCCAAACGGACTTGTCATTTAAGGGAGAAACTCCCTTTTTGAAAAAATTGAACGTTGTCCGTAACGGCTAGTTTTTTCTCTTAATCTAAAGAAAAACACGGGACCGAAGGGGCTCCTCCTCTAATCTCTAGGATCAGATCCGAGAAACGGCGGCCGTCACCTCCTCCTCCTCCTCCTCTCGCCACATACCTAAATTCAATTTGAGTGAGCCTATGACGGTACAGGTAGAAGATGGCTCCGCAGAAGTGGTGGCTCCGCCGCCACCACCTCTTCCTCCTTCCCAGCGCCGCCCCAGGGTGAGGGAGGTCAGCTCTAGGTTCATGTCTCCTTCTCCACATTCGTCCTCTTCCACACTTGGTGATCAAACCAAATCGCCGCTTCGTAATCAGCAGCAGCGTGAACAGAGGCAGAGGCGGCGCCTGGAATTGGAGGCAGACGACAACAGGCCCAGGGTGAGGGAGGTTGGATCTAGGTTCATGTCTCCCTCTCAACATTCCTCCTCTTCCACGTCCGGTGAGCCATCCAGATCGCCTCTTCGTAATCAGCGTGAGCGATCAGTCTCGGCACAGAGGCAGAGGCGGCGCCTGGAAATGGAGGCCGATGAGAACAGGCCCGCTGAAACTCATCGGAGCCTGGAATCCCCATTTACTAGTACCAGTACAAATACGGTGAAGAAGTTTCACCTCTCCAGAACCTCCAGTGATAGCGCCAAATTATTTGGGAGAAGTACTCCATTGAGGCCCGATACCCCAACAACCATCACTTCAGACATAACCGCATCATCAAGAATAAGATTAAACCACTGCCCCGCCACCGCCGCCACAAAACTCTTGCAATCTAGTGTGATGTCTATGCCGGAGACAGATCAGCTACCATCCATATCCACCCGATTCCTTTCAGAGAGAAATCTCAACAAGGGTAACGACACTTCAAAGCCCACTGCTTCTCCTTTCTCCCGTTCTCTGAATTCATCACTGTATAGTTCTGAAACGCCTATGTTCCATCATCCCCTCAAAGGAGGCTCAGTAAAACCAGGGGGACTTTCTCTGCCTCCTGTCCCAAAGCCTGGAACAGATACAAGAAAGGCCAAAAAGGTTTGTAGCCTGCAGGAAGATGTTCATTCCCTTAAATTGCTTCACAATCACTGGCTGCAATGGACATTTACGAATGCAAAGGCAGAAGCCACAATGCAGTTTCAGAAAGGAGAGACTGAGGTAAGCCACAGCTTTCCCTCTTATCTTTCTGCTGTATTTGTAGCTTTAGTTACCTAACTCAAATGCTGCTGTATGTGTAGTTTGTGGACAGATTTCGCATCTCGTATATATCAATAATTCATTCTCATTTGTTCAAAACTTTGGTAGAGAACAATTTATTCACTCGGGCTGAAGATATCGACTCTATATGATTCTGTCAAAAGGAAACGCATTGAACTTGGAGTGCTGCAAAGGATGAAAACCTTAACAACAATTCTTGAAGCTCAGGTAAGGTGTTAGCTTTAATGAATGCGTGCATACCTCATTTCCTCACCCCAATTTACTTCTATAACAAATTGCTTGTTTTTGCATTGCCATAGTCGATTAGTTTGAGCATTCATATATATGGTTATCTCTCTTATGACCTTGCCATTGAGATACGTTATGTGTTTAATTAACCATACCTTAAGCCACACATTGTGTTGAAGCTGTATTCTACAGAAAAATAGCTACATTATTGACCCAGATTTTCTCCATGCCTTTCTGTCATTGTTTCAATTCTGATGTGAAATTTTTTTTGCTCTTCTTGAATGAAAAAACAGTCATTATGAGAGGCTAGTTCAACAAAGAGGGGGATTATTGGACCTTAAGTTGTATTGACTCTAGAATTTGTTGCTCTTGTTGAGTGTTGAATGATTTTTAAGTGAATTTATTTGGGTATCATATGATCAAAATTAATTTTAATCTTAGACATCAATGTTGAGAATGTATATTGCATTCCAAGTTCAAACATCAATTTCCGCAACTAACATGTTTCTCTTTGGCTTGACTTAGATGCCATATCTGGACACTTGGTCTGCCTTTCAAGAGGAGTATTCAAATTCTTTGTCAGAAGCGGTAGAAGCCTTGTTGAATGCCTCACTTCGACTTCCTATCAGTGGGAACGTTAGGGTATGCATACTTTTCAATTGCTTTCACAGTTGAAAAGTTTCCTGTTGTGTTACTTTTTGATTAATTTTCATATATGCATGTTTGCAGGCTGATGTAAGAGAGGTAGGGGAGGCAATAAACTCTGCAGTAAAAATGATGGAAATGATATTTTGCCATGTTCAAGGCTTTATGCCGAAGGTAGGAAGATAAAATAAATTACCACATGCCAAAGTTTACATTTTCAAAAGGGCTGAACTTCAGCCTTTGTTTTTGATGTTGAGAACTAGTTAATAAAAAGGGACCATTCCTGCAAAGATAAAATTTCAGAACTAGTTAATCTCACATGCTGTTGCTTGTCTTCTTAATGAAAATGGTTCTCTTATGATGCAGGCTGAAGAAATGGAAAGTTTGATATCAGAACTTGCTAGAGTGACAGGAGGTGAGAAAGCTCTTGTAGAAGAATGTGGAGATCTTCTGTCTATGACATATGCATCACAGGTTGGTATCAAAACAAGGACATAAATGTATTGATTGATGTTGCTTTTAAAAGTATTATGTTTGTACCATCTGTGGTTAAGTAGAACAGGAAGCTAGAGATGCCAGCGGACATTGCCTCATTGTGGTCTCCTCTCTGTAAGTAGATATTCTTACAAAAGATGGCTCTCTGGTTTCAGGTGGAAGAGTGCAGTTTACAGAGCCAGCTTATTCAATTCAGTCGAAGATGCGCCACTAAATTCCAAGAAGATGGGCTATAAATCATCAACTTTTGATTGACATGAACAGGGTGTTCGTTGTACATTTGAGCAGGCTCAGTTATTTCTGGAAATTGCTTCAGATTCAGAATCCCATACTAAGAAGAAGAAAGAACTGGCCGGGGTGTAGTGAACATTTTGTGTGTTAGGAGAAATTCTTTCCCTCAGTCCCTTCGGTATAGCTACGTCAAAAATAATTTTGATTCTTGGTGTAGACACAAAACCATATTGTATTGATTTATACAAATTCTTGTATACAAATTCTTTATTCCATCATAATATTTCATTCACTTTGTATTTTTTCAAAACCAGTTTGTGTACTCTCAACCCTGTACTCGACCCTAATTTTTCATGAGTAATGTAAACATCGCACTTTTTATATTAGTTTAGGGCATTTAAAAAGAATAAACTTAAAATATCATAAGTCAATTACATCCATTATCTATACATGAGAATCTAAATGAAACATCTAATTTTATCATAAATTGATCATACCATCAATTCTATTTCACTGTTGCAAACGTGACAAATATCAGATCAATTCTTTAGATTTAATGATTCATCTCAAAATTTAATACTTCAATAAAATTAATTAAAAATTTAAATCTCATTAACTAATTAAATATTTACACTTAATTTATGAGCTATTGAAGTTTCTACCAACTCATGAACAGGCTCATTTTCTTTTCCTCCGTTGTTAAAAAAAATAGAAAAGGGCAGCCGTCTGGGGTCCACAAAATAAGGGAATCCTAGTAACTATTTCACAGATGCAGCCCGTCTCACCTATGAGGCCCAAATCCTATAAGAAAAAGAAGAAGCCCAAGCCTTATATGAAGTGTATCTGGGCGGGGCCACCGGGGTTCGTCTTCGTCACCGCCTTCTCCAGGAGAAAGAGAAAGAAGGATCGGAAAAATCAATCGAGAGTCTGAAATATGGCGTTGAAATTTCTGAACAAGAAGGGTTGGCACACCGGAAGTCTAAGGAACATAGAGAATGTGTGGAAGGCGGAACAGAAGCATGACGCCGAGCAGAAGAAGTTGGAAGAGCTCCGCAAGCAGATTCAGGAGGAGAGGGAGCGCTCCGAGTTTCGTCTTCTCCAAGAGCAGGCTGGCCTAGTACCGTACGTTTTTCTTTTGGATCTTTGTGCGTTGTGATTAGGGTTAGCGTTTAATTCATTACTTACACCAAATCGATCTTTATTTTTGACAGGAAGCAGGAGAGATTGGAATTCCTTTACGATTCAGGACTTTCTGTCGGAAAGGGATCCGCCAGCTCCAGTGGCGCCGGTGGCGGAGGAGGATTCAAGGCTCTTGAAGAAGCCCTTCCAACCTCCAAGCCCGCTGCTGATGCTTCTTCCAAGCAGTCGCCTTCCGTTCCTGGAGCCTTGTTCGAGGACAAGCCCCACTCCGCCAACGACGCCTGGCGCAAGCTCCATTCTGATCCATTGCTTTTAATTCGTCAGCGCGAGCAGGAAGCCCTTGCCCGCATCAAGAACAACCCTGTCCAGATGGCCCGTATTCGCAAATCTGTAAGTTCTTCCGCTTTCATTCTTTAATTATCATCACTTAGGCAGCTCCAATTGTTTGCCTAGAAATCCCATTCTTTAAAAATTTAGCTTTTAAACTGTATTAGATTCACTGCTTACTACTTGCTTATCTATAAATTGCCTTTCCTTTCTTCTTATAATTTCTCTTGAGTAATGACAACTGTTGTGCTTTGTATGGTAACTATTGTTGTTGATGATCTATGTACTAACATCCTGTATACTTTTAAAAGGTTGAAGAAAAGAAAGAGAAGGACAAGCCCCATGATAAGAGGGAATCCCACAAGCACCGTAATAGTAGTAGTACAAAGCATAGGAAGCATTCATCTCGAGCAGAGCAATCAGATTCTGAAGATGACACTTACAAGGTAGATAAAAGAAGAAAAAATGGTGATTATAAGAGCTCACAGGGGCACCGTGATAGAAAACAGCCAGATTCAGAAAATGAATCTAGTGATAGAGAAAATCAAAAGAAGAGGCGCCAGAAGGAAAAATACAACCATGATGGTCCTGATGCTAACAGGAAGAACCTTGACGAAGGGGAATATAGAAGGTCTCATGAATCACACCACAGACGCCAGGGTGTTGCTCCCAAACTTTCTGAAGAGGAGCGAGCTGCTAGGCTGCGTGAAATGCAAGAAGATGCTGAGGTTCATGAGGAGCAAAGATGGAAGCGGTTGAAAAAGACTGAAGAGAATGATGCTCGGGAGGCTACCAGGGCCACCATATCTGATGGAAGAAAATTCCTCGATGCTGCTCATCGAAGTGTGTATGGTGCTGAGAAGGGGGGAAGCTCCACAATAGAAGAGAGTGTCCGTCGCAGAACACATTATCTGCAAGGCAGGTCTGAATCAGAAGGCAATGCTTTTAGGCGGTGATGATGTTTTAACCTACTGGTATTTTTTATTGGCATAATATATCTGATAATCCAGGTGTGCTTCTCCACCTTCTTCTATTGTGTGTTGTTCATTTACCATTTCATACACCACTTTGTCAAGTTGAATGATTGATATTGTGTATTATGGTCTTAGCTGAGTATGATTGATCTGTCACCTTTAAACTATGGTGAAAGAAAATTTAAATTTTTAACATGTCTCGATTGTTGTGCTATTAGATTTTATTCTGGTGGCATAGGGTGGGTGGTTACAAAGTTATTCTGAGAATCTGAGATGAATAATTGAGCATGGACTGATGGATGAAGATAGATTTATCCAGCAATGGAAGTTTTGGTTGGTCAGGAAGGCTGCTATCTACGAAGCCATTATTTCAACCTAATCAGTGGTTGTATTTGTCAAGAGAACAGAAGATTTGGGACCCTTTATGCTTGCCATTTTGGCTCTTGGATGTTGGATGCTTCACAATTCAACCTC